TTTTTCTCTGAATTTGCAAACACACACACATACTTACAGAAAATTTATAATTTTTTTATTGTGGTGAAAATATACACAACAAAACATACACCAATTCAATAATTTCTACAGTACAATTTAGTGACCTTGATTTCATTTGTTCAAGTTGTGCAACCATTCTTGCTATCCTTTTCTGAATTATTCCACCGCCACTGACGTAAACTCCCTGCCCCCTAAGCACAAACTCCCCTCTTCTCCCTCCCTCCCACCCGTGGTAACCACTAATAATCTTTGGTTTCTAAGTATTTGCTTATTTCATATAAGTGAGATCATACAGTATTTGTCCTTTTGTGACTGACTAATTTTGCTCCGAGGAGCCCTGGTGGCTCAGTGGTTAAGTGCTCGGCTGCTAACTGAAAGGTCGGTGGTTCGAACCCCAGTGGCTCTGCAGGAGAAAGATGTGGCACAGTCTGCTCCCGTGAAAATTGCAGCTTTGGAAACCATATGGGGCAGTTCTACTCTGGGGTCACTATGAGTTGGAATTGACTTGATGGCACTGGGTTTTAATTTTGTTTAGTGTGATGGTTTCAAGGTTCATCCATGTCATAGCATGTATCAGGACTTTATTTCTCTTTCTGGCTGAGAAACATTCTATTGTATGTATTTACCACATCTGGTTGATCCATTCGTCTGTTGATGGGCATTTAGGTTGTTTCCACCTTTTGGCTATTGTGAAAAGTGCTGCAATGAACACTGGTGTACATATGTCTGTTCACGTTGCTGCTTTCAGGTCTCTTGGGTATATACCTAGGAGTGGAATTGCTGGGTCATATGGTAGCTCTATGTTTAACTTTTTGAGAAACCGTCAAACTGTTTTCCACAGTGACCATACCATTTGGCATTCCTACCAGCAGCAGATGAGGGTTCTGATTTTTCCACGTCTTCACCAACATTCTGTCTTTGAGCTTTGGTTCCTGTCCTCATAGAATGGGGCACTGGGGTTTGAGCAGGGGAGGACTGGCACCCAGTGGGCACCGGGTCTGTGACAGCTGTCCCCCCCGCCCCCATGCCCAGAGCTCCAGCAACTCTTCACCCAGGCCCGCTGCGACAGCACCATCATTGACGACCTCCTCGGGGTCAAGCCACAGATGAGAGACCGGGACATAGGCCTGTTCCTGGGCCTCATCGAGAAAAGGGTGGTGGAGCTCCTGACGGTGCAGGCCTTCCTCGACTCCAGGGTGGGTAGGCGGGTGGGGGCCTGGGCATTGGAGGCTGCAGCCTGAGGGATGGGCTGGAGGTGACCACTGGGCTTCTCCCCTCTCCAGAGCTACACCTCCTCCAGCTTGAGCCGTGCTGCCCTCATGGTGCTGGGCCAAAGTCCGGATGATCTTCGGAAGAAGTTGGCCCCACCTCAGCTCCCTGACAACCTGTGAGCAACGGGACGAGGCCCAGGAGGGAGGAGGAGGGGGCAGGAGAGTCCAGGAGGCAGATGGCACGCATGGCAGTGGAAGGGTCTTGGGGGCTCTGGGGTACCAGAGGGTGGGCAGGCCCTGGGGGCATTGGCTGGGAGAGTGGGTTCTTTGGGGAACAAGAGGGAGTTCCCCCATCTAGGGGACTGTCTTAGTTTGGGTTCTCTAGAGGAGCAAAATGCATGAGACATACATATATGAACCCTGGTGGTACAGTGGTTAAGCGCTCAGCTGAAAGGTCAGCTGTTTGAATCCACCAGCTGCTCCAAGGGAGAAATATATGGCACTCTGCTTCCGTAAAGATTACAGCCTTGGAAACCCTGTGGGGAAGTTCTATTCTGTCCTATAGGGTCACTATAAGTCAGAATCGACTCGATGGCAACGAGTTTTATACATATATATACATATATATACATACACACACATACATATACATATATGTATGTACATACACATACATATATATGTGTATATATGTGTGTGTGTGTATATATATGCAAGTATACACATATATACATACACATATGTACACACACACACATATAGAGAGAGAGAAAGAAGGAGCCCTGGTGGCACAACAGTTAAACACTTGACTGCTAACCGAAAGGTTGGAGGTTCGAAACCACCTAGTGGCTCTGCAGAAGAAAGACCTGGAGATCTGCTCCCATAAAGATTACAGCCTAGAAAACCCTATGGGGTAGTTCTACTCTGTCACATGGAGTCGCCATGAGTCAAAATTGACTCAACAGCACCTAACAACACACACACACACACACACACACACACACACACAATGTATGTGTATATGTATATATATAATGTATATACATACACACATCTATTTATGTATCTGTCTATAGAGAGAGAGATTGAAGTATCAAGGGTTTGGCTCATACAGTTGTGGAGCTCACAGGTCCAAAATCCATAGATCAAGTGGCAGGCTGGAGACTTCCACAGGCTTGTGTCCCAACAACTAGAGGTCAGGTGATGAAAAGAGTACGGAGTGGAGAGACTGAGCTTTGCCAGAACATGTGCTTGTATTCTGGTGGCAGGCCACACCTCCAAGGAAACTCCCCTTTTAACTGATTGGCTGATCACATCAGAATACATCATGGAAAGTGATTACATTACATTACAGGACATTACATTACGTTATATTACATACATTACATTACACTACATTACATTGTTTGATAATTTCCTCATTCTGTTGGATCACCTTTCTTTGTAATGGACACAGATATGGATCTCCTCCAGTCGGTTGGCCAGGTAACCGTCTTCCAAATTTCTTGGCATCGGAGAGTGAGCACTTCCAGCACTGCATCTGTTTGTTGAAACATCTCAGTTGGTATTCCGTCCTGGAGCCTTGTTTTTCACCATTGTCTCCAGTGCACCTTGGACTCCTTCCTTCAGTACCATTGGTTCTTGATCATATGCTACTTCCTGAAACGACTGAAGGTCAACCAATTCTTTTTGGTATAGTGACTCTGTATTCCTTTCAACTTCTTTTGATGCTTCCTGTGTCGTTTAATATTTTCCCTGTAGAATTCTTCAGTATTGCAACCTGAGGCTTGAATTTTTTTCTTCAGTTCTTTCAGCTTGAGAAATGTCAAGTGTATTCTTCCCTTTTGGTTTTGTAACTCCAGGTCTTCGCACATATCATTATAATAGTTTGTTTTCACCAGGCACCATTTGAAATGTTCTTTTCAGCTCTTTTACTTCATCATTTCTTCCAGAAATTATTGAACAATATAATTAATATCACACACAAGTAAAATTTTTCTAAGGGTCATTCAAAAGTGGTTGCAACAGTACATCAGTAGGGAACTGCCAGAAATTCAAGCTGGATTCAGAAGAGGACATGGAATGAGGGATATCATTGCTTATGTCAGATGGATCTTGGCTAAAAGCAGAGAATACCAGAAAGGTATCTACCTGTGTTTTATTGATTATGCAAAGGAATTCAACCATGTGGATCATAACAAATTATGGATAACATTGTAAAGAATGTGAATTTCAGAACACTTAATTGTACTCATGAGGAACCTGTACGTGGACCAAGAGACAGTTGTTTGAACAGAACAAGGGGATACTGTGTGGTTTAAAGTCAGGAGAGGTGTGCGTCAGGGTTGTATCCATTCACCATACTTATTCAATCTATGCACTGAGCAAGTAATCTGAGAAACTGGGCTATGTGAAGAAGAATGCAGCATCAGGATTGGAGGAAAACTCATTAACAACCTGCAATATGCAGATGACACAACCTTGCTTGCTCAAAGTGAAGTGGACTTGAAGCACTTACTGATGAAGATCAAAGACCACAGCTTTCAGTATAGATTGCACCTCAACATAAAACAAAAATCCTCACAGCTGTACCAGTAAGCAACATCATAATAAATGGAGAATAGGTTGACGTTGTCAAGGATTTCATTTTGCTTGGATCCACAGTCAACACCCATGAAACCAGCAGTCAAGAAATCAAATGACACATTGCATTGGGCAAACCAAACCAAACCTGTTGCCGTTGAGTTGATTCCAACTCATAGCGACCCTACAGGACAGAGGAGAACTGCCCCATAGGATTTCCAAGGAGCAACTGGCGGATTTGAACTGCTGACCTTCTGGTTAGCAGTCAAGCTCTTTACCACTGCGCCACCAGGGTTCCCTTAGTTATCTAGTGCTGCTAAAACAGAAATACCACAAGTGGATGGCTTTAACAAATAGAAATTTATTCTTTCACAGTCTAGGAGGCTAAAAGTACAAATCCAGGGCATCGGCTCTAGGGGAAGGCTTTCCCTGTCTGCTCTGGAGGAAGGTCCTTGTCATCAATCTTTTCCTGGTCTAGGAGCTTCTCAGCACAGGAACATCGAGTCCAAAGGATTAGCTCTGCTCCCGGCGTTGCTTTTTTGGTGGTATGAGGGGTCCACCTGTCTATTGGCTCGCTTCTCTCTTTTGTATCTCAAAAGAGATTGACTAAAGTCACAACCTAATCTTGTAGATTGAGTCCTGCCTCATTAACATAACTGCCTCTAATCCTGCATCATTAACATCATAGAGGTTAGGATTTACAACACGTAGGAAAATCACATCAGATAACAAAATGGTGGACAGTCACATAATGCTAGGAATCATGGCATAGCCAAGTTGACACACATTTTTGGGGGACACAGTTCAATCCATAACAACCTTTAAAGTGTGCAAAAGCAAACGTGTCATTTTGAGGACTAAGGTGTGTGCCTGACCCAAGCCATGATATTTTCAGTCGCCTCATATGCATGCGAAAGCTGGACAATAAATAAGACTGAAGAAGAATTGACGAATTTGAATTGTGGTGGTGGTGAAGAATATTGAATATACCATGGACTGCCAGAAGAATGAACAAATCTGCCTTGGGAGAAGTACAGCCAGAATGCCCCTTAGAAGCAAGGGTGGCTTCTGAGGACTTTGTCTCACGTATTTTGGACACGTCATCAGGAGGGACCAGTTCCTTGAGAAGGATATCATGCTTGGTAAAGTAGAGGATCAGTGAAGAAGAGGAAGACCCTCAATGAGATGGATTGACACGGTGGCTGCAACAATGGGCTCAAGCATAACAACGATTGTGAGGCTGGCACAGGACTGGGCAGTGTTTTATTCTGTTGTACGTAGGGGCGCTATGGGTTGGAACTTACGATGACACCTAACAACGACAACATTACATTACATACATTACATTACATCACACTACATTATACTATATACCTTACATTACACTATATACGTTACATTACATGACATACTCTATCAAAAAAACAAAAACAAAAACCAAACCCGTTGCTGTCGAGTCAATTCCGACTCACAGCTACCCTATAGGACAGAGTAGAACTGCCCCATATGGTTTCCAAGGAACAGCTGGTGAATTCGAACTGCTAACCTTTTGGTTAGCAGCCGAGCTCTTAACTACTGTGCCACCATTGCTCCTTATACACACTACATTGCATATATTATGTACATATATTACATTACATACGTTACCCAACAGCACCCAGTCCAGTGTCTGCTGAACCATTGAGAATCCTAGCTTCGCCAAGGTGACACAACATTAGCCATCATCTGTTGGCTTGGGAAGATGGGGTTCTGGTAGACCAGAGTGAGGGAGGGCAGCCATCTGCCTTTCATAGTTCAAAAAGTCCAGTCTCTTCCTGTCTCCCGCCACCCTAGAGAAGACCCCCCAGGTTTTGAGAGCAAAGACAACTATCCTTTGAGCAAGGAGGAGCTGCTGAGCCAGGTGGTGAAGTCGGTGAGCATGGGAGCTTGTTGGGTGTGGGGGGGACCCCAGCCCCCCTGGAAGCCTGACTTGTCCCTCCCCACCCCCGTCGCCCAGCTGGAGGCCCGGGAGCAGGCCCGGGAACAGCATCAGAAGGAGCTGGCTGAGGTGGCGCGCAAGGCCGACAGCAGCCCGAATGGGGGCTTCATGGGCGCCCAGGGGGCCAGCTCGGCCACGGTCCTGGAGAGCACGCGGAGCGCCAGTGGCGTCCCCGGCTCCATCCTGAGCCACAGAACAAACGGCATCCTGACGTCTAGCGGGGGCCGGGCCACCGGCTCCAATGTTGGCCACGTCACCTTCGGCATCCCCAGCTCTAGTGGGGGCCACGAGTCCAACCACGCCACCTATGGGGACCCCGGCTCCACCAGCTCCAGCGCGAGCCACGCTACCTTCCGGCCGGTCAGCTCCGAGAGCTACCCGGCCTCTACCGGGTATCAGGAGTCCAGCGGAGGCCAGGAAGGCGCTGGGGGCGCAGAGAGCCGAGGCGCAGGGTCGGAGTCAAGCGGAGGCCCAGTCTCAAGCACGGGCCCTGCTTCCAGCACCGGCGCCAGCTCCACCACCAGCAAAGACTACCGGGGCTACTACTAGGGGCCCCGGCTTCCCCTATCCTGGCCCTGGCTCCTTGCAGGGGCCTCTCTGGGTCTCTGCCTCCCTATCTTTCCCTCCCAGTCCCTCTCTCCATCTCCTTCCGCCGTCACTGCGCCCCTGTATCTGTTTCCCTCTGCCCTTCACCATCCCTTTTCATCTTTATCTCCGGGGCCCTTCCTCCTCTCCCAAGCCCGTTTTGGTTTCCGATTCAGCATCTTTCCGCTGTCTTGTCTCCACAATCCATCTCCCCATCGCTCAGTCTCCTTCTTCATCCCCTTAACCCCTGTTTATCCTCCCACCTCCTCTCTCTGCGTCCCCGTTTGTCTCTCCGTCTCCTTGGCCCCATCTCCTAGGCCCCATCCCCTAGGCTCTCCTCACATCTCACGCCCGTGTCTCTGTAGCTCCTCATTCCTCATGCCCCCACGCAAGGATTCCCCCAGTCCTGAGCAGTAGGGAGGAATCAGGACCAAGATGTCAGGTCCAGCAGGAGCTGTGACCACAGGAAATAAAGGGCAGAGCCTGACTTTTCTCCCAGCCTGATTACAAGTGTGTGTGTGATGGGTGAGCTCGAGACATGGCGATTTCTCTACCTCCAGCCCAGGGGGAGGTGTATTTTCTGCTAGTCATGCATTCATGAACTCCCTGGGTGACGCAAATTGTTAAGCGCTTGGCTGCTAACGGAAAGGTTGGCGGTTTGAGTCCACCCAGAGGTGCCTCGGAAGAAAGGCCTGGCGATCTACTTCCAGAAAAGAAAATCAGCCACTGAGAACCCTATGGAGTGCAGTTCTACTCTGCACACATGGGGTCTCCATGAGTTGGAAAAGACTCAACACAACTAACAACTAACCTAAAGTTTGGAGGTTTGAACCCACCCAGAAGCGCTATGGAAGAAAGGCCTGGTGATCTGCTTCCATAAAGATTACAGCCAAGAAAACCCTACAGAACAGTTCTACTCTAACACATGGGGTTGCCATGAGTTGGAAATGACTCAACAGCAATGTTTTCTTTTTAATTCATTCATTCATAACGTCCCTGGATGGCACAAATAGTTAGATGTTCACCTGCTAACTAAAAGGTTGGAAGTTCAAGTCCAACCAGAGGCATCTCAGAAGAAAGGCCTGGTGATCTGCTTCTGAAAAAAATCAGCCACTGAAAACCCTACGGAGAACAGTTCTACTCTGAAACACATGGGGTTGCTGTAAGTCAAAGCTGACTTGATGGCAACTGATATTCATTTGTTCATTTTTTGAGACCTCCACATTTGGGCTCTACTGGGACTGTACCAGCCAGGGCAGACTGGGTTATGCTGCAGTAGCAAACAGCCCCTGAATCCCAGTGGCCTAATGCAACACAGGTTTATTTCTCTCCACCGCTACTGGTCTATTGTGAGTCAGCTAAGGGCCCTGCTCCACACCATCCTTGTGACCCAGGCCAATGGGACAGCCACTGCCTGGAGTGTTGCCAATCTCTGGCACTAAGAGAGAAAATGGCAATGCATGTATGGACTCTGAAAGCTTCTACCCGGGTGATACATGTCCCTTCCACTTGGCGCAAATGAGTCACTTGGCCACAAAGTGGGGTGAGTGGGAAGTGCAATCTTTCTGTGTGTCTGGAAGGAGAGAGAGAGGAAGGGATATTTGTGGACAGCTCTAATGGCCTGCCACAGCATCACAGAGATAAAGCAGACCGTGTCCCCATCCTGGAGTCCCTGGGTGGCCCAAACAATTAAGCGTTCAACTACTAACTGAAAGGTTGGCAGTTCGAACCCACCCTAGAGGTGCCTTGGAAGAAAGGCCTGGCGATCTGCTTCCGAAAAGTCACAGCCTTGAAAACCCTAGGGAGCACAGTTCTACTCTGCACACGTAGGGTCACCACGAGTAAGAATGGACTCAACAGCATTTGGTTTGGTTTTTGGTTTAGACCAGCATTTAATAATAGGAATAGAATAGAATAAAAAGTATCATGTAGTACAGGGTGGTGTTATTTTATGAAAGTATCTAGATGCCCTAGGAACCCTGGTGGAGCAATGGTGAAGCGGTTGGGTGCTAACTGAAAGGTTGGTGGTTCAAACCAACCCAGCGGCTCGCCATAGAAAGACCAGACGATCTGCTCCAGTAAAGAGTACAGCTAGAAAACCCTGTGGGGCAGTTAGTTCTAGTCTATCATATGGGGTCGTTAAGAGTTGGAATCAACTCGGCGGCATCAAACAACATGTAGATGATGCTAAATGATTTCTTACTATGCCTCGTGGTCAGCAAAGTTTTAAAGCTACTGGTAGACGGTCCTCAGCGTCCTTACATTGATTTCCAAACAACTGCCCATTAGCACACTCGATAGCACCCCCTTTTAGACGCGGAATCCCATCTTGCCCAGATAAAAACATTTTTGGGCTCTCCCCACAGCGCTGTCATAGCAGGATTCCGCTCCAGGTGGCGCTAGCGCGCTACTGTGAGTGCGTTTTGCTCCATCCTCGACCCAGACTGGTGGGAACCTGTGAGTTATTTCGGTCACATGTCAGCGCGAGGACGCTGTTTGCTGGGAACAGAAGCTCTGACCACGAATATAGTCCCCAGAGCAGAGCGCTGCAGGAGAGCTCAGGCTGCCAAAAGAGGTGTTGTTATCGGAAGTCTTCCTTCCTACCTTCCTACCTCCGTCCCTGCCACCCTTCCTTCTTCTTTCCTCCCTCCCTCCCTCCCTTCCTTCCTTCTTCATCCCTTCCTTGCTTCCTTCCTTCCTTCTTCATTCCACAAATTGTTCATTAAACGTCTGCTGTGGACCAGATGGGTCCCCTCTTCTGGAGCTCACCTCCTCGTTGTGGAGGGTGGAGCATAAACCAGATTCCCGGCGCCTCATGTGGAGGCCTCGCGGCCGGTGCTGAAGAGCCACGGCTCTGGGACAGGCAACTCCAGGGGTAGGGGTGGGGGGTGGGGGGGAGAGTGTCATATCCCTACTACCTGCCGGATGTGTGACTTTGGGCCACTTGCTTAGCCTCTCTGTGCCTCAGTTTCCCCTGCTATAAAATGAGAAACAATATCAGCACCTATTTCATAGGGCTCTTATGAGTCTTAAAAGAGTTAATACCTATATAGCACTAAGAAAGGGGGCCTGTTGTTGTTGCTAGGTATTGCTGACTCGGTTCCGACTCATAGCGACCCGGTGTACAACAGAACGAAACACTGCCCAGTCCTGTGCTATCCTCAGAATCGTTGTCATGCTTGAGCCCATCGTTGCAGCCACTTGTCAATCCATCTGGTTGAGGGTCTTCCTGTTTTTTTGCAGAGCCTCTACTTTACCAAGCAAGAAAGGGGGCCTAGCATATGTTTATTCAATCAATTGTTAGAAGTTTCCACTTTATGGACTGCCAGTCTAACTGCCTCCATGAACTACTTAATATCTCCTTTGCCATGAGACCAGAAAAATGGGATGGTGCCTGGCTACCATTTCTGAACTTAAAAAAAAAATGTACAATTTATTTTATTTACTTTTTTTTGTTGTTGAGAATATACACAGCAAGAACATACACCAATTCAACATTTTCGACTTCCACAATTCAGTGACATTGACTACATTCTTCAAGTTGTGCGACCATTCTCACCCTCCTTTTCTGAGTTGTTCCTCCCCCATTAACATAAACTCACTGCTCCCTAAGGTTCTTATCTAATCTTTCCAGTTGCTGTGTCAATTTTTTTTTGTGCTTTAGGTGAAAGTTTACAGCTCAAGGTAATTTCTCATTCAAAAATTTATACACATATTGTTTTGTGACATTGGTTGCAATCCCCACAATGTGACAGCACACTCCCTCTTTCCACCCCAGGTTCCCTGTGTCCATTCGTCCAGTTCCTGTCCCTTTTCTGCCTTCTCATCTTGCTTTTGGGCAGGAGTTACCCATTTGGTCTCATATATTTGATTGAACTAAGAAGCACGTTCCTCATGTATGTTATTGTTTATTTAATAGGCCTTTTTAGTCTTTGTCTGAATGGGCTTCAGGAGTGGTTTCAGTTCTGAGTTAGCAGAGTGTCTGGGAACTATAGTCTCGGGGGTTGCTCCAGTCTCTGTCAGATTAGTAAGCCTGGGCTTTTTTTGTGCATTTGAATTCTGTTCTACATTTTTCTACTGTTCTGTCTGGGACTCTGTGTTGTGATCCCTGTCAGAGCGGTTGGTGACGGTCGCTGGGCACCATCTAGTTCTTCTGGGTTCAGGCTGATGGAGGCTCTGGTTCATGTGGTCTGTTAGTCCTTTGGGCTAATATTTTCCTTGTGTCTTTGGCTTTCTTTGCTCTCCTTTGCTCCAGATGGGATGGGACCAATAGATGTATCTTAGATGGCCGCTCCCAAGTTTTTAAGACCCCAGATGCTGCTCACCAAAGTGGGATGTAGAACATTTTCTTTATGAACTATGTTATGTCAGCTGACCTAGATGTCCCCTGAGACTATGGTACCCAGCCCCTTGCTCCAGCAACTTGGTCCCTCAAGGTGTTTGGATATGTCTAGGAAATGTCTATGCCTTTGCTTTGGTCAAGTGTGCTGACCCTATATTTTGTGTTGTCTTTCCCAAGTTGACACTTGTCTACTATTGAGTTATTTATTTCCCCTTCCCCCTACCCTTGTAACCATCAAGAATGTTTTTTTCTGTGTGTAAACATTTTCTTGAGTTCTTATAATAGTGATCTCATACAATATTTGTCCTTTGTGACTGACTTATTTCACTCAACATAATGCTCTCCAAATTCATCCATGTTGTGAGGTGTTTCTCGGATGCATCATTGTCTTTTGTCATTGCATAGTGTTCCATTCTGTGTATGTACCATACTTTGTTTATCTATTCATCTGCTGATGGGTGTTTAGGTTGTTTCCATCTTTTTGCTATTGTGAATAGTGTTGCAATGAACATGGGAGTGCATACGTCTATTCGAGCAATGGCTCTTATTTCTCTAGGGTATATTCCTAGGAGTAGGACTGCTGGATCTTATGGTATTTCTATTTCTAGCTTTTTAAGAAAGC